CAAAATACTGTCATTGATGAAGGTAACAAACCTTACATTGACTAATTAATTGATACTATCTATTCAAAATAAATAATAGAATAAAAATAAACCCAAAGCTTGGATTTTAATGTCATATGTTTGTCTAAGAAAACTTGAAGTCACTTTGTAAGTTATAGTTTATATATCAAATACATATGATATAGTCTTCCCCAAATTCATTGTACATTACACTATTGCCAAAAGTTGATGTTTTTCTAAATTATAATATCTATAATACAAAACAACTTTTAAACAGCCATGTTGAGGAACAGGCTGGATTCTTATTCCTTTCTTGGATTTTTTTTTTCATTATCTCCCCAGAAAATAATATGTTAATCAGAATTTGAAGAGGTGCTCAAAAAGCACGTAGTGAGAAATCACACCAAAACAAGCTTCACAGAGGAGTCAGGACACAGTGAGATTGTGGCTAATTTTATTATTTCATTTTTGTGTTGTTTGTATTAGGAATATTTAATGGTTTGTGATTTATTTTCTTAACTGAAGCAAATACATTCACACAGGTGTTAGAACACTTTGCTTTTTCTTTAAAAGGGAGCCCAAATCGTGTAAGTTCCAGGCTCACCCTTTGGAACTAGAGTTTAATCTGAACGGTGTTGCCCAATGTCATTTTTGGCCAGGCAAACATGGGCTTTACGCCTACTCTTCAGGCCATGAACAGGTGTTTATATCTCTTGGGATGCTCTCTTGGGGTCAAGTGCAGAATGCAGTGTTCAACAGTGTCATTAGCAGCCTCAGGCAAGAGCTTTTCCTCAATAAACAAAGCTGTGAAATCTAATCTAACATCTTGTTTTCTCAGAATATTGCTCTTTGTGCTGCCTGACTAGGAGTTAGGAAATATATATTTGCAAAATTGAGAAGTTGTGTTTCCAATTGCATGAATCTCTGTGCCCCTTGGAATGGTGTTATTGCATGGTCTGTGCTCCTTAGAGACAAAAGTTGTTGGTGAGAAGACAGAAAGAGAAATGCTGGCCCTGTTGAATAGATAATGAACAAATGTGTGGTAAACTGGTGTCAACTAGTTGTAAAAGTTTAGTATTTATCAAATCCTTTTTGTGCAGGTGGAGTTGAACTGAGTACTAGTAAACCATGGATAAATGAGATGGTCTGTTCTTAACATTATGACTTTGCCTATTTGTTAGAGGTCAATCATGCTTATTTTCATATGACTGGTGATTTCATGTGACAGGGCACCAATAGTTCCATGTGGCTTGTCGTAGGTGGCCATGGTGATTGTTTTTCTTCCTTTCAGGATGGAGGGTCAAGCATCACTTTGCTGCCTTTGGCATTTTTGGCATGTGGGCAATACAGGCAAGGGTATTGCCCAGTCATTGTCACAGCTCATCCACACCAACTCTGTTCTACACTTCCAAATGCAAGGAGCGAGTCAGAGGGGAAGAAAGTGGTTTAAAATCCTTGGCTTTGTTACACACAGCAACGGAAGCTTGTATGCCTGAAAAAAGATCCCCAGAACACGTAAGTCTTGAGCAGGACACTGAGGCAAGAGGGGATTGAATCACGTTGAGGGAACATTGGAGTTCATCCTTGCTCTCTACTAGGAAACATCAACCGTTTTGGGGTGGGGGGGAGCAAAGGAAAACAGAGAATATGATATTTTTGTCGAAGGGCATTAGTGCTAGGGAGGAGAGGAGGGGGGCTGTGAGTCAAAAAGAACAAATAAAAATGTGCATAGACAAAGGTCATCTCCAAAAGTCCTGGAGTGAGTCGGGATGTTGTTCTGCGGGCAACGGCTATTCCTGCAACACCAAGACAGAGGCACCCGCTTTCTGCCTCGCAGGCAGTGTGACTGGAAATTGCTGCTCCCTACCAGGAGGGCAAAAGAGCTCGCACAGTTCTCCCAAGGGCTGCTGGAGCACCCTATGCGGCTCTCACAAAAATGGCAACACCGAGGTAAAATAAATGGCAGGTCAACACTCAGTGTATTCGTGTTTGCATGCAATGCTTAGGTGTTTGTATGCCTTAAAAACAAACAAACAAACAAAACAAAACAAAAAACCCTCTTGATTCAAAAATTAAGTCCAGAACAAAATAGCAATCCTGAAAGAATTAGTTCAGATGTAGTATGAACAGCATCTGGCCTACAGGACATTAGAGCACGGCTGACCTTTTCTGCACAGACCAAAGCTTGTTTAGCTGCCAGGTGTAGCCACTTCCCGCCGCAGGTGCTCCTGTTTGCCTGCGTGGCTGCTTGTTGGCAGAATCAGTGGGGAACATCCTTAGTTTAACCCACGTGAAAACGTTTCACCAGTCTAATATTCCGGATCTTTGAGAAGATGACAATGCAAATAATGCACATACCAACAATGTTAGTATCAACCCCAAAACATCCTAGGGGAGGTTGGTGCGAAGTGCTATTAAAATAAGGATCAGCTGGGGGTGAGGGGAAGGAAATGAACGCAGATTTGCCTTTGAGGAACAGGGTGGGTTTGCAGTGATAGAAAATCTGGTTTCCTTTAGGAATTTTACCTGCTTATCGTTGTCTCCACTAGAAATCTGTAAGTAATAGGGTTCCAAACTTCTCCAGCCTACCCTAGCAGGAACGTTCCAGTATGCCCCATACACAGCCGAACTTGCTTCCTGCAATCAACATTCGGTACTCAAAATAGATCTTAAGCTGCTTGAAGGCAGGAGCTGGGCCTTGCGCTGCGCCCAGCACCCGACTCCGACGTAGGGAGCAGAGGCTGCGGGAGGGGAACTAGAGCGGAGACGGGGCGAGGGGCGGGGATTTCAATGTCAAACCGGCGGTCGTGGAGGTGCCGGGGCAGCGCAGACGGCCAGCGGGGCCACGAACCCGCCCTCCTGCCCCCATCCCGCCCTCGCAGCCGTGCCCCGCTGCAGCCAGGTGGAGGCGCCACGGACTCGGGCTAAGCCTTTCCACAACCCTCTCCCCACCTACCCCCACGGTCTCTTCCTACCCCACTTCCCCCCCGCACATGACGTGGGAAGCTGCCTCCGCCAGCATCTTCGCCGTAGGAGTGAGGGGAAGAAGGGGTTGTGGGGTGGGGTGGGGTGGGGGGTGTGGAGGAGGAGGACCACGCGCGCGCACACCCGGGGCCCCCCCGAGACTCCGACCCCGGCCTCGCGGGATCTCTGCTCCCTCTAAGCCCGGGAGTGGGAGGTAGGTGTGTACGGGCGCGAGTGTGAGGGTGCGGCGCGTCCGCGACGGTGAGCCCCAATGCAGACCCGGCCCGGAAGATGAATACCCATTTGCCTTCCTCTCTCCCTTCCTAGCCCTCCCCGGCTGCCGCGCGCTCGACTCTTACCGTCTGCCCCCGCCCGCCTCCCTTCCCCCGGCTCCGAGCATCACCAACTGGAATCTGGGCTTCTGCCTCTCCACCCCCAACCCTTTTTTCCTTTTCTTTTCTTCTTCTTCTTTTTTTTTTTTTTTTTTTTTTAGAAAGGGAGGTTCCCCACCCCCACCCCCTTTCGAGCCCCGCTTTCTCCGGCTTCTTCACCTCTAGGAAATTCGGGGCTTGGCTCTATCGAAAGTGCTCGCAGGGGCCATCCACGATCACCAGTTCCAGAAGTGCTGGTGTCCGAACGCTTTCCCGTTTGCTTTGCAAAGAAGAGTCGTGAACTTCCAAACCCACAGACGAAGCATTAATCCTGCTTTGCAGGGCTGGAAAACCCTGAATCCCCAGCCGCCGGCCGGAGACGGCCACTGCCGAGGCGCTTGGAGCCGGTGCGTAAATACCCTCTTAGGAGTCTCTCGCCTTGTTTCGGGGCTTGGAGGGTGTCTGGCGGATCAGGGGTCGAGGCAGTGCCTCCGTGAACAACCTGCTGTTAGGTAAAGCTGTGAAATCCCGTGGAAGCCGGCGCTGGCTAATTTGGACGCGGCTTTTTTAAGGGGTGTTTGGTTGGGTAAGGGGGGTAGAGTGGAAGGGGTGAGGGCGGTTCCTGCTCTTTTTGGGGGGTTAATCCCCTCTGCCAGCAGGACGGCTGGACAGCGGCGCCCTCCTTCTTACCCCACTTCCCTGGGGCCGGAGCCTCCCACCGCGACCCTCCATCCAGTCACACGTTGCAGGTGCAGCCCGTGCGCTGCACATCAGCGCGGCGGCGTGAGTGTGCGCGGGCGTGAGTGTGAGTGCGCGCGGGGGCGCGTGCGCGCCGGGGGCGTGTGTGCGCGCGTGTCAGTGTGCCCCCTTCCAAGAAATGCCCAGTGTGCAGCCCGTGCACAATCAGAACCCATTGAGCACCAGCCCGGGGTGGGAGGAGGCGCCGCCGCCGCCGCTGCTGCTGCTGGAGGCGACCGCCGAGAGCAAGCCAGACATGTCAGCGGCACTGCAGATGGGGCTGGGGGCCGCGCTTGCTGGCGAGTTAAGTGGGGATTGGGCTTGTGCGTGTGAGCGAGCGTGTGGCGCTGTATGGGGCCTCTTCTTCCCTCCCTCCCTCCTCGCTCCCCACTTCCCTCCTTCGCTGCCTGCCTCCCTCTCTCTTCCATTCAGGTTGGCTTTCCCACCTCGCGTCCATGCCTGTCCCGGGAATGGTATAGCCAGACCTTTTCTGAATTATTTATAGACCGGTGCCAGCCGTTTGTAATGCCTCTCGTGTGCGCTCTGTGGGAAATGCGGGGTTTCCTCCCCCTTTCCCGGAGCCAGAATTGATATCTCTCTCTCTCTCTTTTTTCGGAATGCATTTTATTTTTCTCACCCTCAAATCCAACCCTGACCATCAGCCTTTCTTTCCCTCCCCATAGGAAGGGGATGCTCCTGGAATGACCACGCTGCACGGAGGGACCGAGCCGGCCCCCAGCTTCTCGGCGCGGAGCCGCCTCCGCTAGCGCTTTAAAAACCAAAAAGAAAAAAAAAACCGTAATTGCCAGAAGAATCGTTAAAAAATATATTCCGGCCACTACCCTCACATGCTGACGGAACCGTTACTCTGAATGCTGCATTGTGAGCTGCACTCCATGCCCTGAATTTAATCTCTCCCCCACCTCCGAATTTGCCTCTCTTCAAGACACAAGATTAAGACAAAATTTACCCTGAACTGGATTTTAAATGATCTTCCGTTCATTTATCCTCTGCCTTCCTTATGTGGATATGCAAGCGAGAAGAGGAGACTGCACGTTCCCAACATCATTCCCAACATGCTCACTCCCTTAATCTCTCCGTCTGCAGCTTTGGCTTCTACAACCGGAGGTAGGACCGATTCTATCCTATCTTTTCCTCACCTGGGCGAGGGGTGCCTTGTTTTGTCGGTCTTCTTTCAGTCTTTTCGGTGGCTTTTTTTTTGTTTTTTTTGCAAGCAAAGGTAGCAAGATCTTAAAATAATGCTGTGCTGGGGAAAAGGCTTATTACAAAGAGGGGGGAATTTCCCATGTTATTCTTTTTCTTTGGGTTTTTTTTGGGGGGTGCAGCACGGGTGAGTGTGTGTAGGCATGGAAGATGCTGGGTGGCACCAGCAGTTTCTGTGTTCTATGGATGCAGACAGACATAGACACAGCTACCTCAGGGACCTGTGTGATTTTTTTTTTTTTTAGTTAAATAGCATTTTCTTCACCCAGAACTGAAGCTTTGATTTTCATGGGCATCCAGCTATCTCTCTCTCTCCCCCCCACCAACTCCCCCAGACTTGATTTTTTTTCTCCTGCCCGTCTTCATGCTTTTCTTTCTATCTGCTGTCCCCACCTTCTAGGCATCCTTTCTATACCCTTCCAAACAGAACAATAAGGATTGAGATGATGGTGATTGCTGCCTTGAAATGTACTTGCTTGCCACAGGATTGATATTGGGCCCCAAGATCCCAGGAGGCCTATTGCAGGGGACCAGGTGTAGGTGAGGAAGCGGGTTGGTGTAAGCACACCTGGAATTGGAGGATGCTGCAGAGTAAGAGGGCCTCAGCTATCACCTGGGAAAGGAGGGATTCTGTCCATATTCTACCTTTAATTTATATATAATATATATATTTATGTGCCATTATTTCTGAGCTGTAAATTTCTCCTTCTGTCTACACATCTATTTATACCAACACATCCTCCAAGCAAACTGTTACTTCCACACTCTTGCAAAATGGCTATCTTGCAGAGTTCTAAAATGCTGTGCATGTGGAACGGGTGCAGAATTCGACACGTGAGTCTTTGTGTTAAACAAAGAGATGTGCTGTTTGCATGTGTTGGTTTTGTACCCTCTAAAAAATGGAATGAATACTTCAGTGTTTGCCCCCTCCTCCATTTCTGCAATATGTGAAATGTGGGCAGACAGTATTTTAAGGTACATGGAAAGAGAAATAGCAAGATAAATGGAAAGGTCTTAGCTAATGACTTCTTCAGCTAGTCCCTCTTGCAATCCCAGCCAACTCCTGAGAAAACCAGATTATCCACCTGCTGGCGAGGCCATGATGGTGAGTGCACTGCCCATCTTCTTACTCCCCTTACCAAAAAATCCCTGTGCTCTGAAGGCACCCAAGTGCAAGAAGTACATTGGGACAAAGATCTTAAAAAAAGAATTGCAGATTCATTAACATTCATAATCGTTCTAAGCAGTTCCTCTCCCCGCCACCCTCCCCTCTAAACTTGTTAAAATAAAAATCCTTTGAAACAATTGACATGCTAAGGAAGCAGCAGAAGGTCCTTGTCACTCCACATGACAGGAGTTGTCAATTTTTCATTGTTCAAAAAGATTGGATGTTCTCCACATTCACTGGCCCTGTCCCCTGGGTTCCACTGTTGTGAGCTTTTGTTGGCACAATGTGCTCTGTGACCATGGTGTAAGCAGAGTGGGAGGCAGTGAGATCCAGTTGGAACCCTATTTCCACCACCTCCTTTTTGTTGTGTGTTTACCTTAGAGGCACCTGTGCCGGTTCCCCATCTGCTTCTACTTCTTCAAGTGGGAGGGTGAGCTCCCGATTTCAAAATAGAACAGGGATAGAACAGGGATATGAGTGAGGAGGCAGCTCCATGTGCCGTGATGTCACATGTACAGTTGGACAAGCAGAGATGGGGATTGATAGGGTTAATGGCTCCTTTGCATCCTTGGTGCCTGGGACACTGGGTGGGTCTTTGGGAAGGTTTGCTGGCAATGAGGTTGACAAGGAGGTCTTTTGACAGGGTCTCACCCACCTCATCTGCCTTGAATGCCAATGTGATTAAGCCACGTTCCAGAATGTCATTCGTTGACCCTGAGACTAGAAAAGGGAGGAATGGCAGAAAGAAGAAGGTGTGGAGGAAGAGAAGGACAAGGGGATGATAAAACCATGCAAAAAAAAAAAAAAGAAAAAGAGAGAGATGATCCAACTGAAATGGTTGTTAGGATTCAAGGAGAAATGGCCACAGGTGTGTGCACCTGTCAACAGTCACAGCCAGGGCAGATGTTCCCTATCTTTGGAGTCGTCTCTGGGAGGCTTTGGCTCAGTGTGTCTTCGGCCACCTTAGAACCATTGTTCTCGCCCCTGTTCCCCTTGTCAGCATGAAGAGTTGACTGGGTTCTATTTTGTCTTCTCTCTTTCTGTCACCTTCTATACAGTATGGGTTACATGGGGGGGGGGCGTGGGAAGAGGGAGGAATTGTTAGTGCTGGTGGGAGGAAGAACCATTTTATTTCAATGGAGGAACCATTGCAATTAAAAAAGAAAACAACACAAAAATAGAAATAGGGACTTCCTGGGCATTCAGGAGGAAGGGTGTTGGACTGGTGGCTTCAAAGGAAGGAAGCTGGACACAGTGGTGATTTTCTCTCTATGTGTTTTAGCTGAGGTCAAGTGCATTGGGTCTGTGAACCCAGTCAGCATGGCACTTAGGGAAGGGAGGCCAGCCTGCCAGGAGAGGAGTAGGATGTGCCAAAGCATTGTCAAATGTTCCCCCTCCTGTTGGTTCCATGTCTAGGAAGCTTGTCTGTCTGTGGAGTCTTGCTTTGATTCTGTTTGCATGTACTTCTCTTCAGAGATGGATGCAGACTAAGCAAGGAGGCAATTTGACAGGAAAGGAGGGGGAGAGGAAAATTCCTTTAGTCACTAGTTTTTGAACACCAAGTGTCTTTTTTCTGAAGTCTGATTGAGTAGAGCGACTTCATCTGGAGAAATGATGAACAGCAGGAACCTTGCCTATGTGCGTCTGTGTTACCTCTAGAAAGATGGCTTCATAGGCTCCAGCAGCTTTCTTGACCTTCAGGCACAGATCAGGGGCAGAGAGCCCCGGGAGGAACACACGGGGACTGGTAAGAGTTGGTGGCTCAGGGAGAAAGAGGACTGAATGGCTCAAGCCTTGGCTCCACCATTATCCATTCTTCTGATCCTCCATGAGTGAGAAACCCAGGGTTTTCCATCTTCACATTTAAGATAAAATGAGGGTGACACATCCATTGTCATAAACAGATTAAAGCCAAAATGTAGGTAATGTTTCTGAACTATGAAATATTAGAAGGAGGTAGAACAAAGGACAAGTTGTAGATGAAGAAAGCCCTAACCGCAAATTAGCATCTGGAAAACAGGAATGAGGAAAAAGAAACCCCCGGCTGAAGCCGCCTCCTAAGGGTTGGAAAACTGTTCCCAGCGATGCCCCCTCCCTTTAACAACCAAGATCTGACTGACAAACCACTCATGTCATGAGTTCTATTGTGGTCAAGAGTAGGTGAGCTGGGAAAGTTAAGCTCTTCCGTTTTCTCAGTGCCATCCTACACCCTCCTTTAGAATTCTAGAAATTTCTTTTTTCTCAGTAAACTACATTTTTACTCAGTCCTGCTGTGCCTATGGTTGGGTACTAGAATTGTCTCTCTGGAAATAAATATAGATCAGAAGACTTACTGGCCTAATGAATTGTTCACATTTATTAAAGCTCATCTTCGCTTTGCAACCACAAGAAGAAATCTCCAGGGAGAGTAGATTAGCGGTTGAATTGATATTATCTTCCAGAAGGAGGCCAAAGAGAGAAGAACAGAACACAGTCAGGATGAGAGAGCAGACGTAACTCAGAGGGGCCAGGTTTTCTGAGGGTTAGCTGGGCTGCCGATCATGTCTCTGTGGTCATTGCACAAAATCCATGTGTAAATGAATTTTGGAAGTTTGTGAACCCACATTTGTGTTTATGTGTTCTCTTGATTAATTCTGTCTTCTCACTAGAACTTCTGGCTGTGAGTGCCAGAGAAGGGACCTAGCATGTTGTTGGGTCCTTGTTGGAACTCTCTACCGCTGCCCCAAGCAGTGTGATTGTATTGTGTTGTGTCTTTTGCCCCCACTTGTTCATGCATCTTAGTACACTTTATCCTGCTTTTGCTTATGTACCCTGCTTCTCCAAGAGGTCTGTGAGCTCCTCCCATGCAGGAAGAGGTGTTTCATCTATCTGGGAATCCTTTGAGTTCAGCACGGTGATGCATAGGGAATGGGTACTCAGAAAATGAATGAATGAAGAGAGAAAGCCCTGGGGTCTATTGTCTGGTCTCAGTTACACTGTTAGATGAGATGAACACTGTCAGAGCTCTGTGATTCTATGGGGGGCATTGACTCAAATCCTCTCACTTAGTGAACCAAGAAACAGAGATCCGGAGATACTGAGAGTTTGTATGAGGTTGTCAGAACTCTCTGTTGCCGAGGCTTTGTGCGATACACCATTGCTAAGAGAGTGTGATGTGGACATTGTCTGGGGATGTTCAAGGTCTCCATAACTGCCTCTCCAACAGCTTTGTCATATATAAGAGTCACCCAGAGACCTTGTTAAAACACGCATCCTGATTCAGCATGTCTGAGTTGGGGGAACCCACACTTCTGCATTTCTAACAACACCTAGTGGATGCACATTCACTGAACTACACTGTCTCAGCACCCAACTACATACCTTTTTTAATGTTGGCAGTTTTGCATATGTTCTACTTCTGGACTTCATCACTTCTGTTTTGTTCTTAAAATAAAAATCAGAAGGAACTTGGATATGTAGGTTCACCCTCCTCTTATTTTTTTTTCTTTATTTCGCTCTCATGCTTCCTTTTGTACATCTTCTCTTTCCATCCTTTGTACCCTCATTCTGGCCCTGCTCAGAACTGACTCTTACTTTTTATGTACCTCTGCCTCTTAGTTTTTCATCTCTGATAATGTCTCTGAGTCTCTCCTTTTTCATGTAAGCCTCTTCTTTGAATTTCATTTATGTTTATGTCTTTTTCTCTATACAGTTATTCAGTAACTATTTTTGAGGACCAGTATTTATGAGACCTCAG